GGCATAGGGCCAGTATAGAGTAAGCACTCAATATACATTCCCTTCCTCTCACAGGTAACTGAGTGAACAGTTCAGCTACATATCCATCACTCACACACAGAGGTGAAAACTGAAATCCATCTTAGACCATACTCTTCAGCACAGAACTCTCACCAGGTTCTACGAGCCAAGCAGCCTAGACTAAGTCTCAAAACCAGTATGAATTCAGCATGTTGTTACACGGCATCAATCGTTAGCCTTCAAGAGTCTTAACTGTATTACAAATACACAAGATATTACAAATGCACAAGATTGTCCACTGCAGCATTATTATTATAAAATATTATCTAAATGTCCAAAGGGGATTAGCTGAACCCACCATGGCATATGCATGCAATGGAGTACTATGCAGTTGCAAACAAGGATGAGAAACTGGCATGAAGCGATTTCCACAATACATGGTTGACTGAAAACACCTGAGCTCAAGTGAGTATACAAAGTATGGCACCTTGTGTGTAAGAAAGAAAGGGAATGAGAAAATATTCATGTATCTGCTTACTTTAACAGAAAGACACACAAGAAGGGTAATCACCTTCAGGGTTAGCGAACAATAGCAGTGAACGGGACAGGGAAGGGAATAATGCTCCTCTAGGACTTTTTGTTTGTTTGTTTTGTTTTTGTTTTTTGCAGTACGCAGGCCTCTCACTGTCGCGGCCTCTCCCATTGCGGAACACAGGCTCCGGACGCAAAGGCTCAGCGGCCATGGCTCATGGGCCCAGCCACTCCGCAGCATGTAGGATCTTTCACGGACCGGGGCACGAACCCGTGTCCCCTGCATCGGCAGGCAGACTCTCAACCACTGCGCCACCAGGGAAGCCCTCCTCTAGTACTTTTAAATAGAGTTTTGACTTTTTGTTTTTCTTTCAGTCTCATTAAGACATAATTGACAGATAGCACCATGTAGGTTTAAGGTGTACAGCATAATGACTTCACTTACTTAAACGGCAATATGATTACACAGTCTTGACTTTCAGAAGCACGTTAATAGTTTACATATTGAAAAAATGAAATCAACAAGGATGGGAAAAAATGAAATCAACAAGGATGGGAAAAAATCTCCGACTGAGTGCCAACAGAAATTAATTATAGATTGTAATTAACACAACACTGAAGTGGGGAGGGGAGGTAACTTTTGAAGTTGGTACTTCAAAAGAGGCTACTATAATACCCTCAGCACCAGGGGGAAAAAAACACCAACAAATCTTGAACTCTTTTTAGCAGGTTTGTTTTTCAGAGTGGTACAGGCATAGCAATTCTGAAACTCTTTTAAGTGTGCTGTAGGACTGAACACTAAGTAAATGGGCTGAAGTTGTTGGAATCAGGGAGATACAAATATGGAATAGGGGAGGGTGAGGAAGAACTCCGTGGGGTTGGATTATAACTGGAGTATTAAAATGAACTCATGATTCCCTGGCTCTTTCCACAGAGTCTAGAAACCATGCTGTTCAGCAGAACTTTCTGTGATGGTAGAAATGTTCTATGTGTGTTCTGTCCAACGTGCTAGCCACTAGCCACATGTGGCTACTGCGCTGGAAATGTGGCTACTGCAGCTGAGGAAATGATTTTTTAAACTTTATTTAATGTTAAGTGTGATCTGCCACATGCAACTGTGTCTACTGTATTAGACAACTCAAGTCTAGAGGCAATGACAGCACAGTTACACTTAGCACCCAGATCTTGGCTTCTAAATACTACTCCCCACTGAAAGGAATTAGGGTCCCCAGGAGAAACGGCCGACTCCATGGCTGAAGCAGGTAAGTTACAAGATGAACATCTGGTCTGCCAGACAATAAGAAAGTGCTCAAAAAAGGGGTGGGGGGGGGCGGAAGGCATGTAAGAAGGACACATAAGGGCTTCCCAGGTGGCGCAGTGGTTGAGAGTCCACCTGCCGATGCAGGGGACGCAGGTTCGTGCCCCTGTCCGGGAAGATCCCACATGCCGCGGAGCGGCTGGGCGCATGAGCCATGGCCGCTGAGCCTGTGCGTCCGGAGCCTGTGCTCTGCAACGGGAGAGGCCACAACAGTGAGAGGCCCGTGCACCGCCAAAAAAAAAAAAAAAGAAGGACACATGAGTCAGTTGAAGGGGCTCTTATCTGCCACATCAGGGACAGCTCAACTCACCAAACAAAACAGGAATCCCTGAGTCCATACGGATGATAGACGGGGGAAGGGAGATCTCTTCCTCACCAGATCACACTTGAATAACAAGGTCGTAGAAAAAATTACTTACTGACATTTCCACAAGACGAACCCCACTCTACCCCTTGCCTCATACCTTGATCTACTTTATTTCTATGGCAGATAAGAGTACTTTTCAACTCCCAAATAAGACATTCAGGTTCTTAACACTTAGGGAACAAAAAATTTCTCAGGGTCACCCTTTCAGTAAGAAAATAAAGAGTTCAAATGACCCAGGAATCCTCAGTTTCCAAGTTCTGGAGAAATCACTAGGCAAACCTCTTCCCTCTCCCCCTCCTCCCCGAATCAAATCAAATGAAAGTTGGTCATACTCTGTAGCTTCCTACCCTGGCTCAATCTCTCCATCTCTCTACTGGAAAATATCTCAGTATGATGGTTATAGTGAAATGCAGCCAAAGCATGCATCTCTGAGACCCTCTTCATATGAATCTGTAACTTAGTATAGGAAGTTTCTTGGATATCTTAAATAAAAAGGAGGGGACACACCATCGTGCAAATAGGAAACATTTCATCAGATCAGACAATGCACTTAAGTACCCTAACCCATGAAGAAGTAAGAGGTGCAGCATCTTTTAAACGTGCCTGTGAAACTGGTCATTCAGCGCTTAGAAAACACATGTGGAGACATCAGTAACGTTACTGAGATGAGGAATTAACCTGCGGCGAACAAGTGACACTGCCCACCTTTCCTGAGTCCAGGGAGTTGGCCCAGGGGGTGCTGCCGTTTCTGGTTTTCTAAACCTGTGCATGATGACATCCATTGTGAGTTGCACGTGAGCTCTGCAATTCTATTACTCACATTTTAAATTATTTACAGTGTCATCACAGATCTGTGCATCGAGGTCACATTTGTAACCACCCAAGGAGTTACAAAATCACTCCCTAAATGCTTCGACGTTCTAACTAATAATGACGAAAGCTCTGCTTATCACCTGCCAGGCACTGCACTGAGCGCTTACCATCATCCTTTGAGGAAGGACCCACGATGACTCCCGTTGAAAGATAAGGAAGCTGGGATGTTAACCCCGACGCTACGACTTTCACACATTACATTCACCGTAACAGTGCTCTCATTCCCTATCATTACCAGTATCTGAATAACGGACTTATTAATAATAAAAGCAGTAACTGTCATCAACTGAGTATTGCACTGGGCCCAACTCCTCGCATATTTTCACTCTACTGCTCACAATAGCTCCACACATGAACTGTCAGCATCGCCACTTTACAGAGAAGGATATCGGGCCCAGATAAATTAAGTGATTGTCCAAGGCCACAAAGATGGTGAGTGGCAGAATTGGGATTGAAACTAAGGCAAGCTTGATCACAAAACCTACTATCTCAGAGCCACCTCCCCCTTTCTTCGTTTAAAAAAAAGAGAGAGAGAGAGAGAAAAGGAAAAAAAAAAAAAAAGGACCAAATGTCTCTTATTTGGGTTTGGAGAGAGGAAGAGATTCCTAGTAACATAAGAATGAACTCCAAACAGTTGGACGCCCAGGGTCTAAATTATGAGCCTCTCCCTCTTTGCGAGAGGTCATTGTTTTGCAGAGCCTTGTTGCTGGATTCCTGATCGTAGCAAATTCCAGGGCTCCAGACTGCAGGCTCAGCCTCTGACTAACACTACAGTGATTTACTGAGGATAGAGAAATACCGCTGTCAGTATGTCTTATGACTACACACACAGGCCAGCGCGCTGGAATGCCGGCAATGCCGAGGGCTGCTGGCGCGATCGGCCCCCTCGAACCGTGCTAGGTCCCCGCCTCCAGTGAGGAGCCTGGAATATGAGGTCCACGTTCCTGCCAGGAACGGCAGCATCCTCGGAAGAACTGGGGATGGCCGAGCATCCTGAGTAATCACTACACATTAAGTCACGTGTGGGGAGGAGACAGGAGCAGCGCCTTTTACCCAGACAGACAGCGCGCTACTTCCAGCCGTCAGGGCGGCCTCCGCCCTCTGCCAAGACCCCAGACTACCCACCGGCCGCCCAACCGCCAGGCCAGCCTCCCCACGCAGCTGCCTGGGGGTCCCCGAGGCCGCCAGACCTCCGAAGAAGCATCCGCTCCCTCCGCGAGGCGTGCGTGTGAGAAACACAACGAGGGAGCCCAGATACAGCGCGCCGGTTTCCAAATACAAACGTGGTGATGCCGCATCGGGTCACAGAACTTTCGTCTCAGCAAAGGGGGACACTGAGGCGCAGGGAGTTGAAGCAACACGCGCGGAGGCCGCAGGCGCGGGCGGGGACGGAGGGGCAGGGCCGCCGCCCGGGCACGGCTCCTCTGCGCGCGGGAGGAAGCTCCCTCAGCCGCGCGCGTCCCCAGCACGAAAAGCGCCCTCCCCACCGTGGGACACACAGCTGCGGCTGCACACCTAGCTCTCAGGGTGCACAACTGGGGCTCCTGAGCCAGCATTTCACAGTGGTGGCCCGGCGCTCGCCCCTTCGGCCACTGCCCCGGCCCCTAAGGACACTCGGTGGGGACCGGCCCCCTGCGCAAGCAGGTGGCAGTGACCAGGCAAGAGAAGCCAAGGCTTCCAGACAACGTCCCCAAGCCGCTCTAGGGAAAGGTAGCTCCTCTGGGGAACACACTCGAATGGCCGCACACATGCATCGGAAGGAGATGAGAGGTCACCTCTCCTGGAGCTATTAACACCGGTTTAGTGCCCGCTCCTGGCAGGGGAGTAGCGGGCACCTCTCCCCTTCCGAGTCAGCGGCACAGAGTGGCAAGAGAACCGTGGCCCAGGACCCGCTTCAGGGGGGGCACTTACAGGTGGGGGGCGAAGATGCGACTCATCTTGGAAGCATGGTCACTTTCACAGTCCAGCTCGTCGTCGCCGGGCTCCACGGTGAACTTCCTCTTGCTGGGACTGATGGGCGGGGGCCCCGTGCGGTGACTAGTGAGGGCCGAGGCCACGGGCAGGGTCTGCAGCCGGGGCTCCCCCCTGAGGGCAGCTTCACCTGAGCAGAGAGAGAGAGACACGTGTCACCAAGCAGGAGACACGCCCCCATCCCGGCCCCTCACAAAAGGACTCCCGGGGGAAAGTTTCTGGCAACGGGATGGGCTGCCATTCTCAAAACGCGCCCGGGCCCCGGGGAGCTGCCAAGCGTGAGCCCTTCTACATAAACATGGTTTCCCAGCACAGCCACTCTTTTCTGCCCCAGCGTTATTGAGATATCACTGACATATATCATTGTGTCAGTTTAAGGTGAACGACGTGTTGATTTGATACACTTATACATTGCAAAACGTTACCACCAGAGCTAACACATCCATCACGTCACATACCTACCATTTCTTCAGTAACTTTTTAGGGCTTTAAAATAAAAAGTTGCAATAAAGTAACTGGGGACAGAGAGAGTATCCACCATAAACCATCTCAAAAGTTAACTGAAGACAACAGAGGTCTTTTGATTTGGGGGTATTCAACTACGTACCTGTAAGAGTATGATGACCTAACCGTGGGTTCATTAAACCACTAAACTCACTTTTCTTGCGTGTTACACTTTTATTGTGTCTTTGGTGTGTTATTTTTTTTAACAATGAGGAAAATTTATGGGTTAATAGTTCACGTTTGCCCCCCAACGTTAAAACAAACAAAAATACGTTGTTTAATGGGAAATACGTATTTTTTTCTTACGGTACACTAAAAATGGCATGTTAAAAATATGATTATTATCAGCACTAAGTTTCTGTGGATAATCTGTCACCAGCTTAATGCACATGTGCTGTTCTCAAAATATTTTCAAAGTCAGACACTCATGATCAGAGTTCACATTTTGATCTGATTCGACATCTTGCTGTCTTCCATTCCCGTTTTAGAAAGGCTTCGTGCGAAGAGATAACTTTGTGCCTTGTTATGAATTAAAATAAGCATAACCTTTCATTACAAGAATGGTTATATACTTTCTAAAATTTATAAGCAAGAGTAATAGTTACTTTAAGAGAAAACATCAAGCTTCCTAAGTCATGGGGGGCTGAGTACCTAAAATTTTCACAAATAATAACCTGTTTGTTGTGCTTTTCATATTGGCCTCTAAGGCCTGACCAATTTTGTTTCCACTTGGTCACCATTTGAGAGTCACATTAGGATAAAGTCGACTTCATCTGAGGCCTGTGGTACCTAAGAAAGGAAATCTTTGTTTGCCACCACTAATTTTCGTATCGTCACAGAATGCGTGGACAGTTTTAACAGCCGTTTGCTTCACACACATATGACAAATGCGATTTTGTTAGGGAAAGGAGGGAAAAATGCCTTCTTAATGTTTACCAGGAAAAATAAAAATTTTGCCAATTTAGTCAGCAAGATATAAACTAGCAAATATACAGTCACCCATAATACACCTCCAGTCAGGATTTCTTTTAAGGATTCTGGCCCCAAAGCAAACTGGAACTTTCCATTTTAAATGAAATACCTAAAACACAAGCCCTATGCTGGCCTGCTACACTCAGAAACTCAGTAGGATTTTGGTTGACCTCTACCTCGTATTAAGTCATTTTTGGTTTAAACAAACAAACAGCAGTGCTAATATCTGTACCTTAATAAATTAGAAAATATCCTTTCGAAAGCTGCCACTCCTCATTCTCTCCTTCTCCACAGAGCATCAGTAACCCGGTTAACTTCTGGAGGAGCCCTGGTGATACCCTGAGAAACCCAACCACTGCAAATCAAGCCTCATCCGCAAGGCACAGCGCCAGCGCACCCTCCACCCAGTGTCTCTCCACGTCCCTGGCAGCGCAAGTGGGATGAGGAGTACTCTGTGAGGACCCCCGGGCTTTGGGAGCCATTTCATCAGATGCCAGATGTATGGCAATGCCAGTTGCCATGGAAAATCGCCACCACATCAACGAAGTCGAATCACCCCAAAAAAGGAAGAGTCACTCATTACGCAAGAAATCACTGTTACGTGAAGAGCAAAACTCTTGGGGTAACGATAACATTCCTGCTTCACTCCCCAGTTTCCATCCTCGTACAAGTTCTTGGGCTTGTTTGCATTTAAGTTCATCAAATGGAGGCACTGCTTATCTTAAGACTGAATTGCTGGTGTCTGGCAGAGAAAGTCCACAGGAATCCTTTGAAAACACTGGAGATTGGTAACCTGGCGGGTAAAGGACCCACGAAGGAACCACAGGTGGTCCTGGGGGGAGGGGGGTCTCCTCTAGAGATGACGGGGACATGCATGCCGTTAGTGCTGGGTTCCCTCGTGTGACAGATGGAGTCACCTACTCAGGGTCACACGTGAACAGGTTAACTGTAGCAAGAACCATGCCCTCTGCCTATCAGGCTAACACCTCCTCCTAAACACCGTGCAAGCCCCACACACGGCTCAGCACAAAGAAACCAGGGGCAGGAGGAAAAGAGCCACAGTTAGAAGGGCAGGCAGGTCTGCTCAGTTACAGGCCTTCATTCATCTCCGGGCCCCCCTGGAGAGGGCCCTGGCCCAACGCCAGGTATCGTAGAGCAGGATTTGCTGTTGTCAGTGTGTACGGAGCAAAACAAGGTTAAAATTATTTTAGTAAAACTCTATTTTAATTTATTTTTGGCCGCAATGAGTCTTTGTTGCTGCACGTGGGCTTTCTCTAGTTGCGGCGAGCGGGGGCTACTCTTTGTTGCGGTGCACGGGCTTCTCACTGCGGCGGTTTCTCTTGTCGCGGAGCACGGACTCTAGGCACGCGGGCTTCAGTAGCTGTGGCTCGCGGGCTCTAGAGTGCAGGCTCAGTAGTTGTGGCGCACAGGCTTAGTTGCTCTGCGGCATGTGGGATCTTCCCGGACCAGGGATCGAACCTGTGTCCCCTGCACTGGCGGGCAGATTCTTATCCACTGTGCCAACATGGAAGCCCGCGGAGTACATTTGATCTGGGAGTCAAGGCACCTGTGGGATACCCTCCCTTTATTTAGAAACAGGCAAATATGGGCACGTACTTCCCCCCTCTGGGCCTCCATCCAACCAGGGGACGGACTAGCTAATATCTCATATTCCTTCAGACCCAATTCTATGGTCCACAATCCTGTAATCAATTAAGTAACCAACCAACCAACCAACATTTACTATGAAATTATTACTTGTGAAATACTGAACTAATCCATCAAAACCTAAAGTACGATGTAAAAGTATGAGATTAGATCACTCCCTAACACCATACACAAAAATAAGCTCAAAATGGATTAAAGACCTAAATGTAAGGCCAGAAACTATCAAACTCTTAGAGGAAAACATAGGCAGAACACTCTATGACATAAATCACAGCAAGATCCTTTCTGACCCACCTCCTAGAGTAATGGAAATAAAAACAAAAATAAACAAATGGGACCTAATGAAACTTCAAAGCTTTTGCACAGCAAAGGAAACCATAATCAAGACCAAAAGACAACCCTCAGAATGGGAGAAAATATTTGCAAATGAAGCAAATGACAAAGGATTAATCTCCAAAATTTACAAGCAGCTCATGCAGCTCAATAACAAAAAAACAAACAACCCAATCCAAAAATGGGCAGAAGACCTAAATAGACATTTCTCCAAAGAAGATATACAGAATGCCAACAAACACATGAAAGAATGCTCAACATCATTAATCATTAGAGAAATGCAAATCAAAACTACAATGAGATATCATCTCACACCAGTCAGAATGGCCATCATCAAAAAATCTAGAAACAATAAATGCTGGAGAGGGTGTGGAGAAAAGGGAACACTCTTGCACTGCTGGTGGGAATGTGAATTGGTTCAGCCACTATGGAGAACAGTATGGAGGTTCCTTAAAAAACTACAAATAGAATTACCATATGACCCAGCAATCCCACTACTGGGCATATACCCTGGGAAAACCAAAATTCAAACAGAGTCATGTACCAAAATGTTCATTGCAGCTCTATTTACAATAGCCCGGAGATGGAAACAACCTAAGCGCCCATCATCGGATGAATGGATAAAGAAAATGTGGCACATATATACAATGGAATATTACTCAGCCTTAAAAAGAAATGAAATTGAGCTATTTGTAATGAGATGGATAGACCTAGAGTCTGTCATACAGAGTGAAGTAAGTCAGAAAGAAAAAGACAAATACCGTATGCTAACACATATATATGGAATTTAAGGGGAAAAAAAATGTCATGAGGAACCTAGGGGTAAGACAGGAATAAAGACGCAGACCTACTGGAGAACGGACTTGAGGATATGGGGAGGGGGAGGGGTGAGCTTTGACAGGGCGAGAGAGAGTCATGGACATATACACACTAACAAACGTAGTAAGGTAGATAGCTAGTGGGAAGCAGCCGCAAGGCACAGGGATATTAGCTTGGTACTTTGTGACAGCCTGGAGGGGTGGGATGGGGAGGGTGGGAGGGAGGGAGACGCAAGAGGGAAGACATATGGGAACATATGTATATGTATAGCTGATTCACTTTGTTGTAAAGCAGAAACTAACACACCATTGTAAAGCAATTATACCCCAATAAAGATGTTTAAAAAAAAAAAAAAAACAAAACCTAAAGTACGAACCTCAGATCTTATATGTAAAAAAAAAAAAAAAAAAAGTGAATCCACGGTCAAATAAATTTGGAAACCACAAGATTAAATAATTTTCCCAGGAGTTCCTTCTTGTCTTCTAATGCATGTGCCAGTTTCCAAGAGAGAAACACAGCAGCGCTGCCTTCAATCACGCCACCCCCAATTCATCCTACACCTTCTGTAGACACAGCCTTCCAAGGCTCCGTTGTGAGAACATCACCCCATCCTCACCCAAACAGCCAGGAGCTTGCCAGTCACTGATAAAACACTATCCACACTGCTTCAGCACTCAAAGTCAACACCTGGTGCCAGCTATGCTTCTCATCTGTGTTCCTAGTATTCCTCTTAGTAAGCTCTGAAAATTTCAGCCCTAAAGGTTAAACTAGACTAGTCACCACCATTCCACAGAGAACTAAAGATCTTTACTCAGGTTCTTCCCCTAATCTTCT